GTAATCCCAAGAATCAAAGTCCGGACTGCAGCGAAGCGTCTCGGCAGTCCGACAGGACAGTTGTGTGACGCAAGGGCCCGGCCACAATGCGTCAAGGAAGGCCCATTGCAAAACGTGGCATTCCTATACAATGCCAAGCACCCCCTAATTCCCCACAGGGCCCCCGCCGAGTCGCCGACCCATTCGCGCGAAGTTGAAAAAACCACCAACATCCGATGACAAATACTTGATGTTGGCCTTGTGGGCCCGCTTGGAGTCCTCAGGGGAATCCCGACGGCTCAAGGTGGCTTCAAGACGACCCACGACGGCCTCAGGACGACCCAAGATAGCCCCAAGAGGGCCCCAGAGGCCAAAAAGAGCGACCCAACAAGACCCCCAAGAGCGCCCCCAAAAGCTAAAAACAATGATTGACATTCGGTTTTTGCAGGATGTAAGCGTTCTCGCAGTTGCAAACTTCGGCCGCTCATAGCGGCCCAAGCAGCCTCCGAAATGACCCCCCCTGCGACCCAAAGGGGGCCTCCAGATAACCCAAGAGGGCCCCGGGACAGGCCCCCAAAATGGTCCAAGAAGCCCTCGTGATGTCCCAAGCATCTGACAATCCACGGGGCGCAAGTGCGCCCGCGCGGCAAGACAGAGGTGCACCGCAGCCAGCCACGCTGACGACGGCGTCCTCTCTGACGGTGCCTCTGATGGAGAAGCTTCTTGTCATTCCGCGCCCCTCTTGCCCTTCTTTCGCTTGTTCGCGCAAGTCTGCGGATTTCCAAGTGGGTACGGCGCGCACTGTCCACCGGCGGCTGCGCGGCCGCGGACTGCAGCAAAGCGTCTCAGCAGTCCGAGCAGACGGGTGTGTGATGCAAAGGCCAAGCCACGAGACTTCGTGGAAGGCGAATTGCAAACCATTGCGTTCATGCGTATTGAAGAATGCCCCCCCTACCCCCCCCAGGGCCCGCGCTGAGGTGGCGACGCGATTCGATCAAAGGTGCAGAAACCTATAACAGTCCAAATCAATGATGTTGGCCTCTTCGGCCTCCTCGGAATCCACGGGGGTGTCGCGACGATTCATGTCTTCAAGACGGCCCCGGACAACCCCAAGGCAGCCAAAGATGGCCCTACGAGGGCCCGGGAGGCCCCAAAGACGACCCAAGAGGGCTCCATGACGACGCCAAACAACGCTTCCGACGTCTCGATCAAACTTGCACTTGCCTACCAAAGCCGAAGGCAAAATGATTTTGGCCTCCTCGGCGTCCTCAGAATCCACGGGATGTCACGACGGCTCAAGAAACCTTCAAGACGGCCCAAGACAGCCGCAAAAGGGACCCAGATGGCCTCAAGAGCGCTCAAAAAGCCTCAAAGACGATCCAAAAAGGCCCCATAACGACACCCAAGAGCGCCTCCGACGTTTCGGTCAAAATTGCAAGCGCTTTTTCTCACGAGAAAATTCAAAACATTTGAAATCACTGCTTTGGGCCTCTTGGGTCTCTCTGGAGTCCACAGATGTCTCGCGACGGCTAAAGATGATTTCCAAATGTCCCAGCACGGCCCAAAACGGCCCGAAGAGCCCACGAGGCCAAACAAGCTCCACATGAGGGCCCCGCGACGACACCCGAGAGCCTCTCCGGCCTCTCGATTCAAGCTAGACGAACTTACACAGTCCATCGAACATGAACGATTTCGGCCTCTTCGGCCCCCCTCAGGATCCACGAGGTTGTCGCGACGGCTCGCGTAGGCGCCAAGTCGGCGCAAAACGGCCCCAAGACGGCCCAAGATGTCCCCGAAAGCGCCCGCGAAGGCCTAGAGGGCCCCAAGATGAAGCCCAAAAGCGCCTCTGGCATTTCGGTCGCCTTGACAAACCCGGCACAAACAAATGAACAACACAATTGTTTCGCATCCTGTGCCTCAGAGTCCACAGGCGTGCCACGACGGCTCGAAATGGTTCCAAGACAGCCCAAGATGGCCCCACGACGGCCTATGATGGCTCCCTGGGCACCCAAGAGCGCCCCCGAGACGGACTAAGAAAGCCCCACCCCAAACAGAAAACCAGAATTTCCTCTTGACGTTTTCATTATATTGTTCGGCAGGCCTGTCTTCCGTGCCAATCCGACACTTGACGAAACGGCCCTCCGACCGAACGTTGGGCTGCTGCGTCTCGGGAGTGCATCCGACGCACGCGGCGAAACCCAGCGCCGCACGTTCTGATTTTGAAGTCGTTCACAACGCGGCGTCTACAAGGCTTCAACTCGATGTATCGGCGGGCGCCGAGCAGCCCCCTCGGACGGCTCCCGAAGGAGCCAGACGGCCCCCAAACGCCCGATGATTGCCCAACGCACTCCCAACAAAAATTCAAACGACGCCCCGAAGCCGAAGCCTGCAAGAAACGTTCCAGCACTCCAGGGCGCCCCCAACGCCTGCACTCTCCGTGGTCCGGACGCGTGCCCCCTCGAAGCGAGAGGACTTCTCTATCGGGGACCTAGGGGCGCTTTTGTCGTCGAGCTTTGAGCTTGCCGAGGTGTCCCAGGTCTTCGTGGGCCTCCCGGGCCCTCGGGGGATAAAGCCCTTCCGTGGGGCACCTGCTGGCGGGCCGGTGCCTGCTGTACCTTCGCCTGCGGAAGACAGGAGCCCATCGTCGCGGCCGAATGCTTGACTCGGAAAGAACACTTCTCGGCCATGGACAAACCTCCCTTTAGTAAACCTCCCCTTAGTGAAAACGGCCCAAGACCGAAACCGACGGACCTGGACACGCAAAAATGACGGCCCCGACGCCCTCTCGCGAACCGAAAACGGCCAATTCACTAATCGACGTGTCAGGGTAGGAGGTCTGTCAACCTCCGAAACTTTGGAAAGCCCTACGAAACGTCCAGAGCCCGAGGGCCCCAAGACGCTCCCTGGTCCAAAAGGGCCCAGGACTGCCTCGACGCCCCCCAGGCCCCGAAGAGGCTCCCGACGGGTCCTTCCGGATGGCCCCAAGAGGCTGCAGAGAGATCCAGGAGGCGTTTCCGAGAGCTCCCCGCAGAGCGGCACCGAAACGGTCGCGCAGCGCCGTGGCCACACGACGCGCGTCGGCCCCGCGGGCGACGCCTCTCGGATAGTCCCGAACACATGGCATCGGGGCCCCCCAAATGTGCGGTGATGGAGGTGACCTCGCGATCCCCAGTGACATCACCGTCCCCGCCGACTCACCGCGCCGTGTGGTCACCACGCCGCTTCGGGGCCCCCGCATAGCCTTGCCGGGCCTGCTCGGCAGAGGAGGAGGAGGAGGAGGAGGAGGAAGGAGGAGGAGGAGAGGAGGAGGAGGAGGAGGAGGAGGAGGAGGAGGAGGAGGAGGAGGAAGGAGGAGGAGGAAGGAGGAGGAGGAGGAGGAGGAGGAGGAGGAGGAGGAGGAGGAGGAGGAGGGAGGAGGAGGAGGAGGAGGAGGAGGAGGAGGAGGGAGGAGAGGGAGGAGGAGGAGAGGAGGAGGAGGAGGAGGAGGAGGAGGGGGAGGAGGAGGAGGAGGAGGAGGGGGAGGAGCGCCTCGGTGCCGCGCTGGGCACGGCGGCGATGGTGGCCCGCCGCAGGTGCGCGCGCTCGCGAGCGGCAGCCCCGCCCACCCCGACTGCCTCGAGAGGCCGCTCCTCGCCCCGCTCGCGGCTGGGCTCGCCCTGCAGCGGTGGATGCCGGCTGCCGGGCGGGGCAATGGCGACGCTCCGACCTCCTCCTCCTCCTCCCTCCCCTCCTCCTCCTCCTCCTCCTCCTCTCTCCTCCTCCTCCTCCTCCTCCCCTCCTCCTCCTCCCCCTCCCCCTCCTCCTCCCCCCTCCTCCCCCCCCCCTCCTCCTCCTCTCCCTCCTATTCCTCCTCCTCCTCGTTCTTCTCCTCCTCCTCCTCCTCCTTCTCCTCCTCCTCCTCCTCCTCCTCCTCCTCGCCTTCTCATTCGTCGTTTACTTTTGTCGGCGGCGAGCGAGGGGGGGGGAAGTGAGAAGGAGAAGGCCTGCTCAGAAGGCGGCGGGACTTCTCAGCAGCTCTCGCGCCTTCTGGAACATGTTCTGCAGCATCGGGGAAAGCTTGGACAACTTCTCACAGGGCCAGGTGACTCCCAAGCCTTCTGAGAAGGCCCGCCCCGTCTTGCTTCCCCCTGGGCTCGCCGCCGATTCTGAAGGGATCGCCTCACTGAGATGTCGAGAGGAAGTGCTCGAACTGCTCCCCCAGCTGATGCACGCGGCGCATCTCTGGAGGGCCCCAGCCTTCCAGGCCCCCCCCGCCTCACCGCCCACCGGAGACGAGACCAGGACCAGGACAGAACTCGGACCGGGCCAGATCGGGGATCTCTGAAATCCGACGGCTCTGGCGACTGTATCGGGCGCCACGGCCGTTCCAGAGCGCTCCGGAACATTCTGGGAGCGCTCCAGAGCGCCCTGGAGCGCTTCCTGCTGGTCCTGGTCCCGGGCCCGCCCGTCCACCGCCCCCCCCCCCCAACCAGCGGGAAGGAGGATTCTGATGTATGAGTGATGCCACGGCGACGAGAAACGTGCACCCACGGCCGGCCCACACGTGTTCGGCGTGAACGGGCTCGCGTGAGCAGAACCGCGTCGCAACGACGAGGGGATGAATACTGTCATGGATTTCCAGCCGGCCCGGATATAGATGATCGCCACATCCCAAGCCACCGAGGAGTTCAGGAAAACCCCCACAGACTTTTCACGTCCGCAGCTTCTGCTTCTCTGGTCTTGGAGGCGGCTGGGGTGTCTGAGCTGGACAAGGCCAGGGAAAATCGGTCAACAGGGGGGATCAGGCCAAATTCGGTTAAAATCGGTCCCCAGACCCTCCCCAATTTTTCAAGCCGCGTCCAGTCGTGGCGACGAGGGGGCCACTGTCTCCCCCCTCTCTTCTGGCCGAAACCAATGCTGGGCCGCCCCCGTCCCCCTGATCCTCCTCCTCCTCCTCCTCCTCCTCCTCCTCCTCCTCCTTCTCCCCCTCGGGCGCTCCGTGGAGAAAGCCGCTGCGGTGATGGGCTTTATCATGTCTTTGTTCACCCCGATGATGCACTTCTCGCTGTCCCCATAGCTTTTCGGGTAGTTCGGGCTTGAGATGCAGCCGTTGCTGTCCTTCGTACACGGCCCCGATGCGACGACCCACGCGACGCCGCTGGGCACTGTGATGCCTGCCAGACGGGGAGACGCGTAAGCCGAGGTTTCCTACCCCCCCCCTGAAACAAATAATCGTCGACGTCCTTTTCCTCCCATGCCACTTTTTCGGCAAACGTCGTCGTCGTCATCTTCGTCGTCGAAGCTCCCGCAGAAAAACTCATAGATTTGTAAACGCCAGCTGGGAAGATGGCAGAAGGTAGAAAACCCACTGTTTGCAAAAACTCCCGAAACAGCCCCTCCTGCTGTGGATCAGTGATACGGGTTCCAGGGAGACAGCGTCCATACCACTGATCCGTTGGTAGTGATAGGGGCCGGCGACTAATCGACGAATTCAACATCGATCAGCCACACGGCACACCTCAGCGCAATTTGCGATGGGATGGAGCAGAAATCGAGCGCAGGAAAATTACAAAACACGCATGTCGAGGAGTCTTTCGTTATTTTTGGCATCTTGCCGCCCAACCTTGGCGCCGTCTGTGTCTCTTCTGGCGAACACTGGACTGGGCGGAAGGTGAACGCGAAACGTCTTGAATACGTCGACACAAAAACCAGGACTCCGCATGTCTTCCATATTTCTGGCATTTGCCCCTCCATGGCCAACATCATCATGGAATTCTGCGTTTGTGTGTGTGTGTGTGTGTGCGTGTGTGTGTGTGTGTGTGTGTGTGTATTGCACAGTTCTTTCCCTCCTCCTCCTCCTCCTCCTCCTCCATCTCCTCCTCCTCCTCCTCGCCCTGAACAGTCTTCCCTCCTCCGGAGTGTCGTGCGTGGGCCTGCCGTGTCGCCGTTGGGCTTGGGCGCGGCCTGCGTGCCCTCGTAGGTGCCCTCCGAGCCCCCGCCGCACCCGCAGCACGCCTGCAGGGCGGTCTGTCCGTCCTCCTCGAAGTCGGCGAGGGTGCCCCACTCCTGGGGAGGAGGGGGAGGAGGATGAGGATGGGGAGCAGGGAGGAGGAGGAGGAGGATGGGGAGGAGGAGGAGGAGGAGGAGGAGGAGGAGGAGGAGGAGGAGGAGGTGGAGGAGGCGGAGGAGGAGGAGGAGGAGGAGGAGAGCAGGAGGAGGAGGAGGAGGAGGAGGAGGAGGAGGAGGAGGAGGGAGGAGGAGGAGGAGGAGGAGGAGGAGGAGGATGGGGAGGATGGAGGAGGAGGAGGAGGAGGAGGAGGAGGAGGAGGAGGAGGAGAGGAGGAGGAGGAGGAGGAGGAGGAGGAGGAGGAGGAGGAGGAGGAGGAGGAGGAGGACCGACCAGTGCAAACCCAAGATTCATCAACGCTATTGCAATCAACCCTCCCGCCAAATTCCTTCTACATAAGCTCCTAAATGGAATCAGTTTCACTGAAGGCAATGCCCCGTTGGAAGACAACCGCTTGAAAATCTGGAACTGTGCCAGAACGCCATCCGTTTGAAAATCTGGAATTGTGCCAGAATCTCATTCCTGGGACTCCAACGCCGCGAATCACCATTACTGCTGAGTCTGTCAATCCTGAATCGCGCCAGAACACCATTCCCGGGACTTCAACACCGCGAACCAACGTGATTGTTGCGCCCTAACATGCCGACTTCGTGCAATGAACACCATTTCTGGGACGTTAGCCATGAGAATCCTTGAAGCTGATGCACAATCTTCAAAGACGTGTGCGCGGCGATAAAACGAGAGCCACGTTTTGAAAGTGGGCCGCCCTCCATCCGTGAATCTGTTGCAATTTTCAAGCTTTAGGATCAAATATTGCGAAGAAGCCTGAGGCGAAACGCCCGGCCCGCCCTTTCGACCGGCGTCGGGGTGCGACAGTGAAGAGTTATCTGTCAGGGAGAAAAATGGAGGAGGAGGGGGAGGAGGAGGAGCAGGAGGAGGCGGAGGAGGAGGACTAGTGTAACCCCAAGACTCATCAACGATTTTGGAATACACCCCCCCTCCAAGGTTCTTCTTCACAGGCCCGTACACGGGTTCATTTCCAGTGAAGGAATTGCTCCCTTGGCGGACATACGTGTGAACATCCCGAAGCGTGCCAAAACACCAAGTTTAGGACTGCAGAACCACGAGTTAATCTGACTGTTGCGTCTTGGCGATCCTGAACCGTGCCAGAACACCATTCCTGAGAATTCAAAACCGCGAATCAACATCACTGTTGCGCCCTGACAATCATGAAACGTTCCAACACATCATCCCTAGTACGTAAACCATGGGAATCGGTGAAACTCTTACATTTTTGAAACAAGTGTGCGCGACTCTATAGCGAAAGCCACGTTCTGACAACCAGCCACCCTCAATCAGTGAAACTCTTGCAATCTTGAACACGAATGTGCGTGGCGCGAAGGCGTGAACCACATTTTGAAAACGGCCCGCCTCCCATCCGTGAAGCTCTGGCACATTTTGAAAACGAATGCGCGCGGCGCCAAGGCGAGAGCAACATTTTGAACACCACCCGCCCTCAATAAGTGAAGCACTTGCATTTTTTCAACGAGTGAAGGCGAGAGCCCCATTTTGAAAACCACCTCTGGCAAAAAAGTGAAACGAATGTGCGCGGCGCTAAGGCGAGAGCCACACTTTGAAAACCACCCGCCCTCCTTCTGTGAAGCTGTGCTGTTGCAAACTTTTGCGCCTCAGGGTCATCAGTGATGAGGGACTCTCGGGAGAAACGCCCGGCCCGCCCTTTCGACCGGCGTCGGGGTTCGACAGGGAAGAGTTACGTACCAGGGAAAGGAATGGAGGAGGAGAAGGAAGAGCAGGAGGAGGAGGAGGAGCAGGAGGGGGAGGAGGAGGTGGAGGAGGGACGGAAAAGGTCGCCGCAATCGCCTCGCGAGATGTCTACCTCGACTCCGCATGGAGGAGAAGACTCGAGGGCAACGCCCCTCGCCTCCACTCCGAGCTCGCGGGGAGTTGGGCTGTCAGCCAAACCTCTGAATCTTTTGGGCTCGAGAGCTCCCGGCCTCTCCCGCTCTCGTCGGAGCCTCCGAGGGCCTCTCGTCGCCACGGCCCGGCCCGCCCCGAAAGCCTGGCCAGGACGCACCCCAGGAGAGGCCCATGGGTCGACGTTGGACCCCCACGGGTCCCCACGGGGGGAGCCTTCCCCCGTGGGGACCCGCGGGAAGCCCTGGCATCTTGAGCCCTCTCTTTCCAGCCTGGAACATATCCCTATCCCTATGCTGGGCACCTCCTCATCACGATGCCAATCTTGGGGATGCCCTTACTTTTTGAGGGCGCACCCCTGAGACTGCCATCGCCTTTTGGCGTGCCAATCTTAGGGATAGGGATCCGTTCGAGGCTGGGAACTCTCCTCCTTCCAGGGAGGAGAGAGGGCTCGAGATGCCATGGCTGCATAAATGCTTTCGTGCAGCATCCCGGCGGCTGCCTGGCCTCGGGCCTCCCTCTTCGGCAGCCCGCGCCTCGCCTCTGGACGCCCGAGAGGGGCACGGAAAACGTGGGCACAGTGCCCAACAGCACATGCTGCTCCAAACCAACCGCGGCCGCTGTGGGGCGGGCCGGCCTCCTGCCTCCAGTGGACACCGGCCGCGGCGGCGCGCACAGCGAGTCCTGCCCAGAAGGAGCAGGAACTGCTGCTGGGCATCGTGCCCATTCTTTCCGTACCCACTTCGGGCGTCCAGATCGTCGGTGGCGCCGGGATCGTCCCGGCCGGCCGCCGGAGGGCCGAGCTCTTGTCCCAAAGCACGCGCGCTGGGCGTCCAGCAGGCGCGCCCCGAGGGAAGCCAGAGCCCCTCGCGCCGTGGAAAATCTCGACTGGAAGTTCTCGACAATTCTGGAGGCAGCGAGGGAGATGCCCGACGTGGAAAATCTCGACGTGGAAAGTTCTCGACGTGGAAAAGTCTCGACGGGAGATGCCCGACGTGGAAAATCTCGACGTGGAAAATTCTGGACAATTCTCGGCCCCTGGGGGGCCCTCGCCGGTCCCTGGGGCCGTTCAAAAACTACTCGGGGAACCTGTCCTCGGGATCCAGACCTCTGGGGGTTCACGTCAAGAGAACATCATGGTCTGGGCCCGGGGGTGGCCAAGAGGGGGTCCTGTCACGGGGCGATTAAGGAAAACAACTGGCTCCCCACAAGTTTTTTAGCTGGCGGGCCCTCGTGCTATCCTCCGCCTGCACATCCAGTTCCAGCTCCTGTTCGTCATCCTGCTCCTGCTCCTGCTCCTCATCCTCGTCGTCCTCCCGCTGTCGTCGTGGTCGGGTTTTAGGCCAGCTGCTCCTCGTGCCACCCTGTGCCTGTATGCCCATCGGGGGTGCACCAGAAGAACTGGGTGTAGGACGTGCAGTCGTCTCCGTCAGAGTCCGCCCAACCTGGGGGATTCCCACTGTGCCTGGCCTTGCGTGCATCACGCCACCCTGTTCTGCCAGAGGTGATAGGATGACGGGAGGGGGCACCAGGAGGAGGGGGAGGAGAAGGAGGAGGAGGAGGAGGAGGAGGAGGAGGAGGAGGAGGAGGAGGAGGGAGCGGAGGAGGCGGAGAAGGCGAAGGAGGAGGAGGAGGAGGGAAGAACGAGGAGGAGGAGGAAGAGGAGGAGGAGGAGGAGGATGAAGAGAAGGAGGAGGAGGGAGAAAACGGAAGAGGAGGGGGACGAGGAGGAGGAGGAGGAGGAGGAGGAGGAGAAGGAGGAGGAGGAGGATGAGGAGAAGGAGAAGGAGGAGGATGAGGAGGAGGAGGGAAGGCAGAGGAGGATGAGCAACGAACACATGAAGCGACGCGCCGAGTCGGAAAGATGGACGGATGGGAGCAGCAGGAAAACGTGAGAAGCACAATCACTCACGTACTATAGGAAGGCACAGCTTGAGAAAGCCCAGCGACAACATCTCGACATCAAGGTATACCCGACTACCTGGCCAGAACCTGGACAGGAGCAAGCATGACCTGGAACGCCAAGCCCTGAGACGCACGTGCAATACGGAGACCGATCGAACACCAGGAACACGCACGGCACGGGAACATACAAACGAGTTAAACAGGTGGGTTCTAGTTGATTATAAAGCCCCAGCCATTCCACCGCGGGGTCTGACACCATCAAACGACGGGGGAGGGGGATGGGGTGGCGCCTTCCCTCGCGCGGATGGCGCCCCGAAGCGAAGTTATCTCTGCGCCACCTTCGCTGCGGATTGTCCGCCATGGCGGTGGGATCGCAATGACCGAACAGCTGGGAACGAACGGACCTCTCCGAGAAAGAGCCGCACTTCGTGCATCCAATTATCTCTCCAGCCCTGTACAAAATATGTCCCCTGGCGGCCTCGGGCGGCATGACCCCCACCGGTGGGAGCACACTGCTGGGAGGGGTAGCCGAGGCCCTCGATGGGGGCCGCAACACGGGGGCGCTTCTCCGAGCCAACAGCGGCGGCACCGAGGGCGGCCACAGCCCCGCGCGCGAGGCCAGGACGAGGCCCCTCCGACGGCACCACGCTGGGAGGGCTGACTCGCGGGCGCTTCGCAGAGCCAACGTCGCGAGGGGGTGGGCGCCGCCGCCGCGTCCCGCACCCCCCCCCGGGGGTGGGGTTCGAACCGAACCCGAGGGCGCACCCGCTTCATATAAGGCCCCGCCAGCTCCTCCAAGGGCCTGGCCAGGATCCTGGGAGGAGGCGGAGGAGGAGGAGGAGGAGGAGGAGGAGGAGGAGGAGGAGGAGGAGGAGGAGGAGGAGGAGGAGGAGGAGGAGGAGGAGGAGGGTCCAAGGGAGGGTCCGAGGGGGCGGGGGAGGAGGGAGGCTCCACCCTGGGTCGGACGCTCCCTGGCCTGCTCAGGCTCCGTCGGGGCAGACCTCTTGGACCCTGGCTGAGGCTCCTCAGGCTCCTTGGAGGCTGGCGGGGCTTCTGGGGGTCTCCATCCGGGGCCTGACCGAACACGCCTGCCTACACATTAGGGCTCGACCCGAGGTGGATCGCGCGAAGCGCGGGCAACATATACATTCCCATCCTGTGGCCGAGCGCTCGGTCACATGATACTGCTGGCGTCCAGGCAGAGGCGGCGGCGGAGCAGCAGCACGCGCAGCGAATTGACGAACCCGTCGCTGTTCACGAACTCTCTTCTGTGCCCTCCTCGCCTTGCGCTCCACCCGTGGCGCACAATCAGGTCTGGCCTCAACGAGCTCCTGAGTGTTGCCAATCCACGCCGCAATCTGTCGAGTAACTTCCAGCAGTCGTTTATGTTGCCGTCGAGCCGCTGGAGGGGTGTCGTGAACCGCAAGTCCTCGCTTGGCAGCAGCGTCGGCGTAATCATTTCCTTTCTTGCCATGGTGGTGACGACTGTCCTTCTGAGTCTGGTGGGACTTGACGTAGCTGTAAGTCAGGTCTTCGCTCAGGCGGCCGTGGTCCTTGATGAGCCTCCATACTTCTCTCCAGAGGTCCACATTCTGTCGCCGTCGATGTAGACACCAACACTTACCGTTATTGAAACCCTCGGTCGTTATCATACACTCTGTGTGCATGTGCATGGGGAGCATGCCGTTCTTCAGTGTCAAGATCGCTGCGTATATTTCAGGTCTTGGCACCGACTGCTGAGCACTAGGAAGTGGACCGAACGCGAGACCTCGAATCCTTTGGCCCTGCATCAGCGCGATGCCCCAGCCAGCTCGAGCTTCTTCAGGCCAACCAATGTGAGTGCGACCTGCGCCTTCGGTGTAGATCTCGCCAGTGATCTGCTCATGCTGACCACCCTGCACATAGTGCCACGACTCATGTAGGTGAGGAGGTGCAACAACTGGTGGCTCATCACGAGGCATGAGGGCGCGCGTGTACAGCATGTCGTTCGGGGCGGCCTGTCTAGCAGCCACGGTGATATCCTGATCAACTGCTCGCGTGCGCTCTTCCTCGAGGTTCGGGCAAATCCACAATCTATGGTGCAGCGTGCCTTTGGGTGGCTGAGAATATCCACAGCAACCTTTCTGAAGACAATCGATGCAATCCTCGCGGTTCGTGTACGCGTGCTTGAAGGACCTCGTCTGTGACCATTGACCTCCGATGGCCGTGTTGCGTAACGCAGTCCTCGCACGTGCTGACAGCTTCCAGCGCCTAGCCTGATCACGGGGCGCCGGCATAAATTGAACCGGCTCCAGCCAGTGCCCGCACTGTAGACGCCGTGGTGCATCCATTTCAGGAGAGTGATCCTGACGAGTAGCCCACTCCTCCCACTTGATGTTGCTGAAAGCACGCCTCGCTAAGGTGCGGACCCACTCTGGCGAAACATTTTGCAGGTCCACGTTGACGCCAGACGCCGTCGCCCACAAGGATGGTGTCTGAGGCCTCCAGCATAGACGTCGTAAGATTGCCCAGGCGGCGCCTGCAGGTCCCGCGACGTCCTTTCACGTGGGATTGCCCCCAAGCCTGCGCCGTTGTTGATCAAAAGCCTGACGCATGACGTCCGAGGGAATGGCAGGGTCCGAACCAATCTGGGCCCATTGGTACAAAGGTTCAGCAACTGCGAATACCTCGGGGTGCTGATCGCGCCTCCGCTGCAACTGTGAAGTCAGTCATGTTGTCCCCGTCGGTGTTCTGTGCCGGCCTGTGCGTACCATTCTCATCGTAGACTTGACTATCGAAGTTGATGCGCCCACAATCAGAACTCCATTCAGGACCGTAGGCCCTCTGTAAGGCTGGGCGACAGCTCGACCAACACGTGCAAACGCAGCGCGTCTCTTGAAACGAGGGGGCCTCTTAGTCAGCTTCTTCATCCGTTTCTTCGCTGCCGTGTACTGAAGCCGATCCCCTCCACGGGACTCAAAGCCAATCATATCTAAGACTGAGGTAGCCTGAAAATCGCGGTGGCGAGCTTGCTTGGCGATCTGATCCGCGACGCCAGGCACCGACGACATGAGCTTGGCGTTGTCCCTGGCGATGGGGAGGTCCAGGGCCCGAAGCGCCGCCGCCAACCTTTGGGTGATGCGCACCGATGCCTGAACGATGTCCTGCAGCGTCGCCGCGACCTGCAGGGTGATGTCGCCAGCGCATCTGTCCAGCGAGTGGTGCACTGGCGCTGCTTCGAAAGACTTCTCAAACACATCGAGCGGTAGCATCGTCGCCAGCTGCGAGAGAAACATGGCCACCGAACAACCTGGGAGCACTCCTCGCTGCACCTGGACCGCGTAGGAGTACGGGGACCCCAACGTATGCGCCTCGGCGCATAGTACATGGCCAGACATATTCTGAGCAGCACCGTCGGGGAGTTGAGGGCGGCCGCTGCCTTCAAGACCCGATTCCAACAAACTCTATCAACGCACTTGCTGATGTCGATCAGCGCCGTGGGCGCTGCCTTGTCATGGGTGCCGCCGTGGGCCTCGCCGTGGGTCAAGACCCTGGCGCCGACATCAAGAGTCGACCGTCCCTCCCCGAGCGCGAAGTAAGGCCTGGCATGTTCTGAAGCCCACCTGTGAATGTGTTGGATGCGCAGCTTGGCGTGGGCGCGATGCAGCGACGGCAGCGATGCTATTGGCCGAAATTCTCCTTGCGGTCGAAGGCCACCTCGCCCTAGACTCAGCTGCCCAGGAGAGGTCGACCACCATCGCCAAGGTGGAATCTGGTAAGAATGGCCATGCCCTCGGATGTATGCCGTCATGACCCAGACCTGTGTGCCATTGAATAGGTTTTTGCAGCATGCCGAACTTGCTCGATCGTGGGCGCGGGCAGGGCTCCTGACGGACGCTTCGCACTGTTCTCCAAGATGCCGTCGTCCGCCGTGTCGCAGAAGGGCTCCGCTGCAGCGTCGTCACATATCTGCTGACCGTCGGACCTGGAGTCGCCGTCAACAGCCGTGTACTGCGAGAGAGCCGCCATAGCCGAGACAGGCGTACCTTCCCATATCGCACTCCACATGTCCATCTGGCTGTCTGCGATGGCCTGTGGATGCGCAGTAACCTGTCCATGTCGTTGAACTTGACTGTGAACCCACGAGCGGGTGCGCGTGAGGTTGAAGAGAGGTGCTGGTCCTGATGCCAGTGCATCTCTGGCCCACTTTTGATAGCTGGCCAACCTCGCCCATGCCGCTGCACGCTCTTGGTCTTTTGCCGGGGTCTGCAGCTGTGTCGCGTAGACTTCCATGGGCGAAACTGCCGCGGGGGACGGTGGACAACGGCCTTGTGGATGAATGGCCATATAGAATCCAATAGCGAGTGCGCCTCCTTCGAGTGAACATCCCGACGATGACCTGGCCGAAGGAGTCGTGCAAGATTTGCCCATCTGCCTGGGCTCGAGTTGGCGTCGGAGAACCTGACCTGGACGTCGCGTATAGCTGTGGCTACTGCGTGGAGGTGCCTGGCCTCGCTGCCTGCTCCTGGGTGGGGCCCTCGACGAGGGCCTCCGATGGGTC